ATATATATATTTTTTTTTTTTTTACCAAATACTGTGTTTTCCATCATTTTATCTGGATTCCATTTTAATGGTTTTATTAAATTGTAATAATCAAAAGCATCTCTATTTTAAAAATTTCGTAAAAAATTAATTTATTTATTGTATTTATTTCTCTTTTTTTTTCAGAAATACTGTGTTGTGTATTTACATTTTTCTGCTAAATAAATTCTGGTAAATATTCCTTAAAAAAGAATTAAATAATTGAATATTTAAAAAATAATTTTAATAATAATCATTATTAGTTTTTAGTAATACTATCATTATATTAATTAAGTTAACTTTTATTTTGACAGGTTACTATGAAGACCTTTAAGTTTCTCTGTTTATATGATATGACGATGGTTTTTTCTCAAAAGAAATGGTAAAATGCTCATGAAGTGACTCTCAGAGCAGTTCTAGAGATCATGTTCATGTGTTCATGTACTCGTATATTGAGTATATATTACTATTTATTTATTTTTTTTGCGGCTTAATATTCATAGACACTAGACCATATCACGTTTTGATTTAAGTGTACTGACCTACTTTTGATTTATTCATCCAAAATTTGCCAAATTCCGTGACATTCCGCATTATACTGTAAATTCTGTTTTTATGACTGGATTCTGATATTCCGCTTGTGTTTTCAGGCATCCCGGAAATCATAGAGCCCTAATAGTTCTAGGAATGCTCTTAGGATACGTGTTTGTAGCTAAAATTTGTTTTCAATCTTTTTTTTTAGCTCTTAGAGGAAATTTATGGTTGGTTTAACAGTCAGGACCCTAAAATATGGGATCCACGCTCTATACACCTGCCAGCGTAAGCACCATTAATTTCTTTCCAGTTGAAGTTAACATTCACATATGAGCAGAAACATTGTTGAATCTTTTGGTAATGACACATGCCTCCATTCCTGCAGTGGAATGCTTTCACATGCTGTGATGCCCCCAAATTATGAACATGTTTATGCACAATGGCGTGAGAGAGATGGCTGTAGTAAGGCTTTGGACGGCGCCCCACAGATGACTGGAAGACACATGGGTGTTAAAATGGGAGAAGAAGAGGATCTGTCCACACCTTTAGCCCATAACCCTAAAGGACACTTTATGGACATGAGGGCGTTACGAATGAATCTGAAAGGTAAATAAACACGCAAGTATAGAATGACATTAGTAACCATTGTTTGTGATCATATGGAAAGCAGTGCAAATCATCCTAACTTGGCATTTTGATTCTATCTCCCAGGGAAGAAGGGTCGACCAGCTAAATCTGACTTAGACACAGGTTGGCCAAAAGACGACGAGAGACAGTGCTCTCTGTGCCAAAAATACGGTGATGCTAAGGCCAGTGTAAGTACTTTTAATACTGTAAATTCACCAGTGTATTGTACCTTTATTATAGCTTTTTACTACAAGGCCTTAACATGGATTTTAGGAATGGTGCCATGGTAATACCATGTTTTTAAGATGTATACCATGGGAATATTACCTTATTTTTTGCAGTACCATGTAAACACTATGGTGTATGTATGAATGTAGTAATCATTATAACTATCAATATTATGGAATTACCATCTGATAGTATCTTTAGAGCAGTACTTTGCAGTCATTTTTTGTAAGGGTGCTTAAAAGGTTATAATTTTCAGATGCCTTGTCATTAAATTACAGCATACAAGTTTTACTCTGATATGAGAAAGATATTATTAGTGTCACCAAAACTTACAGAAATTACAGTCCTTTGTATTATACATTTCTCTTCCCAGGATGCAGGGAGGTTACTCTATCTAGGCCAAAATGAATGGGCTCATGTAAACTGCACCATGTGGTCTGCAGAGGTGTTCGAGGAGGATAATGGCTCACTTCTGCATGTTCACAGTGCTGTTGCACGAGGCCGTCTGATGGTATGTCATTAATCTCATATAATTCTGGTTCAACTGAGCCATTGGTGTCACTTTATACTGCTTTGAGTTAATAACGTTAACAAACATGGTGCTTAATAGATTGTTAATGTATATTCAAATAGTTTGAAATGTCATCATTTAGTATTTAAACATGAACAGTTTACTTTCATCAGGTAAAAATATAATGTTTGGCTTTGCTAATTTTCTGACTTTCCTTCCGTAGCGCTGTGAACGGTGTAACCGAACTGGGGCAACGGTAGGTTGCTGCCTTACTTCGTGCCAGAGCAACTACCACTTCATGTGCGCCCGCTTTCGCAACTGTGTCTTCCAGGATGATAAAAGAGTCTTCTGTTACAAGCATCGTGACCTTATAAGTGGAAAAGTGAGCTTTCAGTTTAATGGCATTTAATTTAGTCATAGCTGCTTATTGAGTTGTGGTTTGATATACCGTACTGGCCCGAATATAAGACGACCCCCCTTTTTCCAGATGTACCTTTTGGAAAAAGGCTTTTTAAAAACCAAATCTTGTTTTTCTCAGTAAAACACATTTTGTCTTCAATTATTTTCATATTGCATATTTTTCCTATTTTAATTTTAGTTTTGAAAGTATGGTAAAAACTGGTAAAATGTACCAACAATCACATTTAAAAAAATAAACTTTTTGATATACCATAAAAAAAAAAAAACAGGTAGCCCATCTGAATTAGGACATTTAGGCTATCCATCTAATAGTATTTATATATTCTGTGGAAGGCGTAGGACCAAGAAATGTTCATCCAATCAAAATTACATTACGTATTTCATGGCACACTCGTTTTATGCATATTTGGCGCCACCTATTGTTGTGGGTGTATTATTGACATGTCAAAGTCTAGACCCTGAATATAAGACGACCGCGTTTTTTCAGATGTATTTCCAAGAAAAAAACATTGTCTTATATTCGGGTCAATACGGTAGTTACTAAAAAAATCAGCCAAATAGAGACTTAATGTTGGCTTTATATGAATGTTTTGAGAGAGAACTTGTTTTCTGTAATTTACCAGATCATCACTGGTCAAGGGTTTGAAGTACTTCGGAGGGTTTATGTGGATTTTGAAGGGATAAGTCTTCGCAGAAAGTTTTTGACTGGATTGGAGCCGGAGTCAATCAATTTAATGATAGGTTGGTGTTTTTATTGTTAAAGGATATATAAATACCACAGTTTAATGCACATAAATATAAATGTTATGTTTTGTTGTAAAAAAAAAAAATGTTTGCACAATAATTAGTGTTTTAAACATAATTTTTCACCGGGTAGGTTCTTTGCTTGTAAAAAAGCTGGGAAAGCTGAGTGAATTATCTGCCTGTCATGGAAAACTTTTCCCCGTGGGTTATGAGTAAGTAGCTTTAATTTATTTATTTCATTTATTTTTAGGAGTTTGCTCCTGACGAAATGGACATGCTAGACGTCTAGTATTGTCACTCGCTTGCACATCAATACAGTTTTTGTTTCTTCTGCTGTTTAGATGCTCTCGCTGGTATTGGAGTACTGTAAACCCCCTTCGTCGATGCAAATACACATTTCGTGTTAGGGAGGTCCGGTCACCTGTTCAGGAAAAACCAGTGGAAGAGTCGCCCGATCAGGGAGAAAATTGCACAATTGCCCATAGCCCATGCCCCCAGTCAGGTGAGTACTATGTAATATTACTACTTGCAAAGTGATGGTTTGTACATGGCTTGTACTTATGGCGTTTTTGAATATTATTATTATTATTTTCATTAGAAACTGAAGCCCTGGGAGGGGATTTGTCTTTAACAAATCCATCCACTGAAACAAATTCCACCTTGGTATCTGTATTTGCCAAACCGGACCTTGGTGCCCGCCCCAAAATCCCTTCATACCCCCAGAACAGAAGACCTGCTGGAGGACTATCCAGACCACTGCCTTCTCCAGGTAGTTAATATCATTTCAGTGAAGTTTCATGTATGGTCTTCACAAAGTTCATATGAAGCATTTTGATCATTGATTGTTTTTTGTTTACCCAGGAGCTGCCCCATCCAAACCTCACCACATCCTGACTATAAGTGATTTGGAAGACACTCGAAGGACACGACGGCATAGCCCACACACCCAGAATAGCGGTACCCGCAGTCACATGGCCTCCCCTACTCTTGGATCCCCTGCAGGCCCAATTGCATCTAGAGCAGGTGGTTCCCACCACCCTAAAACCTCCCAGCCTACCTCCCCAGGTTTCCCCCTTGGTGCTACTGAAAACCTGCTGACCTCTTCATCAGCTCGTCCTGTCGGTCGAAGTGCTTCCTCTGTCCGGGGTTCTGGAATATTGACGCCCCATTCTACCTCAGGACTGTTTTCACAGTCCACAAGGCAAGGTGGCATTGGCAGCACCCCTTGCACCAACCGATCTCTCACCTCTCCTACCCACCTCTCCACAAGACCAAGGCCTTTTGATTTTAATCAGATAGACTCCGTTGAACTTCCACACAATTTTATAGCATCACCACAGGAACATCCAGGAGAAAATGGTGCCTTGCCATTAGGAGACCCTTTGGGTACACAAAAAGGTAATCATCTAGGCAGTGACGGGGATTTCCCTTACACATCCTTCCATTTAGAGGCAGACCTGACTGTGGCACCTGAGCTGAGAACTGAGCTTGAAATTGAAGAAACCGAGCTGAATGAAGGCGTAGCTATGAACTGCAGTGCACAAATTGTAGTTGAAGGTGAAGACAACCAGGAAGACTTCTGGGAGCCAGATGAAGAGAAGTCCAAAATGTCTACCCAGAGATCGTCTTGTACTGTTGATCCTTGTAGGGAACACTGGGGTAATAGTTCTTCTGATGAGGACATGGAAAACTACTTCAACTTCACTCGCACAGTGGTTACTTGCAAGGCTCAAAGGGATGCCTCTCAGACATCTACATCTCCATCTTTAAGGCAGATTTCACAACTTGATGGTGTGGATGATGGGACAGAGAGTGATACAAGTGTGGCTAATAATGAAAACCAGGGTGTGAAATTGTCAAATCAAGCCCAAAAGCCACACAAACCATTCAACGCTGTGCCTCATGAACAAACAGCTAGCAATGGTCTGTGTTTGGCATTTCCAAGTCCTGTTTCTGATTTTTCTTTAATTCGGTTAGAACCCATGTTCAACTCGGAGACTGTTGCTGATCAAGATTCTTTTGGTGTAATGCAAACATTGCAATCAAGCCAAGACTCTTTGACAAATTTCGTTGATCAAAAGCCTTCAAACACTGCATTTTCTACATATGGTAATGATTACCAAACCCCTCATTTAATGGTTGAACCAGAGACACCCTTAATTCTTGAGAGATGTGATCCTCTTTCACCCAATGCACATTTCACAGAGTTGGTCCCAGTCCAGGATTCTCCAAATGACCCACAAGACTCCAAAGAATTGTACTTGGATCCTAGTAGTGGCCACTTTGTGTCGTCAATGAATGTCTCTACAGTTTACCAAAACAACCACTTGCATGAAGATTCTCTTGACTTAATGGAAGTTAATGGAATTCAGATTCCACAGCAACAAAATCCTGGTCCTTCCACGGTGTTTACCAAGTCTGCATCATCTTCTGATTCCTCTGCACAAGTTTCTTTTGCAACATTCCCAAATCAGGCACCATCTGCAAATGTTTCCTTGTACCCTGTCCAAACTCCTGAGGGTAAGACAGTCTTGCCACCCATGGAGAGTTTCAGAACCAAATTACACCCACCTGCTGAACCAAGGCATCCCGCCCCTTCAGTTCCTGGAGGGGCAATGCCACGTATTCCCACAAATTTACCACAGAAACCAGAGTCAATGCTGTCTGTGCCATCAGCAACTGGTGTACCTCTTGGGACTTATGGGCCAGTTTTGGGTACAGTGTCTGTCCCATTGCATCCCACTTACCCACAGCCCATCGGCTCTACAACTGTTGGCATGATCTCCTCCTCTGTAACTTCTCAACCATCAGCTCAGTGCCATTCAATGCCTTCTGCCATTCAGCCAGCCTCTGCTCCAGGTGTCATCAATGGGTACAACACCACACCTATGCAAAGAGAAACTGCTCCAGGTCGAACAATTTCCATAAATTTTTCAACCCCCAGATCAACAGTTGAACCTCAACAACAGTTGGTTACCCAAGCATTGCCAGGTCATGCTATTCTTACCGTAAAGGAGGTTGGTGGACCTAATGTGGATCCTACACCACATGTTTTACTTGTTAATCGTCTTGGTCAAATATTTGTCAAAAACCCTGAAAGCAACACCTTCCAGCTGCCGACTCTAAATTCCCCTTCATATAACTGTGTTACTCAAATCGCCAGCCTTTTGCAAAGCAATGCCTTGTCTGCAACACTTGCAGCAGCTGGGAACTTGTCCCCAGTTGCAGGTGTCACCATTCCAACCCAAGTCTCCCAAATTGTAACTCCATTGGTACAGACCTCCAACACCATTACCCAGCTACTTGCCACTAGTACTAACGGAGCAGCTTCACTACCAGCAGATGCTAAGAAGTCACGTAGGAGTGCCAAAGCTTCTGGAGATAGAGTGAAAAAACCACGGAATAAGAAGGAGTCTTCCACACCTAGAAGGACAAAGTCTGCAAGCACACATGGCCCCTCTAGCAAACAATCTACGAGTCAAATAACAACCTCCTCAGATACATCAAATCAAGCAGAAAGTGCCCAAGCTATCATCAACCAAGCTATGGCTGGATATTATGATCCCAACAAGACTGTTTCCCTAATTCCCTCATCACCTCGTAACAGTACCGTTGTTGGGCGAACTCAGACAACAAGTTCAGTAGTTTTACCGGAAGGACTCCTTGTTGAATCAGAGATAAAGTCTTCCCCACCAGCAACACCAGAAGCAGCACCTCGACCAAAACAGGTTCGAATGAAAAGAGTGTCCTCTTTATCTGACCGTATCGCCACCAAGAAATCAAAATCTGACTTTTTAGACCTGGACCGCCCTAGTGGATTGGAAGAACCACGCAAGTCAAACTCGGTATCAGCAAGGTAAATGGAATCAGTAAGAATTGATTCAAATTTTCGGATGTTTTTCTTCGCTTTCGAACTCTGCATGGATTATTCATTTATCTGTATCTTTTTCAATTGCAGGTATGGAGTTCGCATTAAAACCCCAACTGTCAAGGGAATTCTAGACTTAGACAAGCTGAATGAAGAGCGAATTAGTGACTCTGAGAGTGCAAGGTGAGCCACTAAATGTAAAAGGGGGAATTCCTGGATGATTTCACTAAAGACATTTAAGTATCAGTATTATTTTTGCCTTTTAAAAAGTTTTGAAATTAAGTAGTAATACATAAATGATACCTTAAAGATTATCAAGTTACTGGCAGCATTTTGAGTCCTGTACTGCTAAAATATGTGTAATATTGTATTTCAGTTTTGAGAAAATGGTTTTGTCAAACTTGAGCTGGACCTACCTATATGTTTTGCTTATAAAACAGTAAATTCAATGCATACATGCAGCAGATCATGCCAAATGTCAGTTTAACATGTCAAAGATAGAATACTGAATGCTTTCATATTAATAATTACAAATACCACAGTATTTTTTTAATGTGGGTAGTTTGTTCCACTGAAGTATGTTATTCGAGTAAGTGGTGACGTTACAGTATTGTAATGGAAAGAATGTCATGCATGCATGCAATGGCGTGACTAAACCACTGATATTGTATGTGGCCTATCATTTATTTTATTCTAGGCCTGGACCTTGGGATCGTCTTTCATTGCCTCGTGGTGGAGACAGCAACAAGCCAGCAACCTGGGATCCTGCTAACCGTAATGCACTGTCTGACTGGAACAAATACTCAGGTATTATTTTTTATTTTATTTTATTTTGCTCACTTTTAGGTGTTTCAATGGATTCAAAAATAAGACTCTTTCCTTTTAGGGATGCTGTCTTGTTCAGATGATGAGATGCCTCCATCAGATGGGGAAGAGCATAGTCCACCCAGCCGAGACCAGCCCCACCTACGCTTTGAGATCGCTAGTGATGACGGCTTCAGTGTAGAAGCAGACAGTATTGAGGGTAGGAGACAAAAATATGTTGAGTGTAAAAGTATGATCTACTTTTAATATATACATATATGCAAGAAGAATGGCTCAAAATCCCTCTGGCCACTGTGCAGGACTTGTATCTGTCATTCCCAAGACGAATTGATGCTGTATTAGCCGCAAAAGGAAGCCCTACACCCTACTAATAAATTATTGTGGTCTAAAACCAGGTGTTTCAGTTTCATTGTCCAACCCCTGTATATATATATATATGTATGTGTGTGTGTGTGTGTGGTTTTAGTTATTATATTTAATCAGTTTTATTTATTTAATTTGTAAAGGAATTATGCAGAATACATGGCCATTTTCTTTATTCTCTTGCTATTGGCAGGCCAAAGACCTAAATATGTTACGTGTGCATGTAAAGTGTAGTGTTTTTACATTTTTAAATGTATTTATGAACTAAAAAATTATCACATTCATTCTTCACATTCACAGTCGCTTGGACCGCTGTTATCAAGGGAGTTCAGGAGGCCCGTGCTGTTGCTGGACTGAGGCAGCTCACTTTTTCTGGGATGAGCGGGGTGCGTGTGATGGGAATGCTGCATGATGCTGTAGTCTACCTGGTGGAACAGCTCCAGGGTGCCAATCGCTGCCATCGCCACACCTTCCGCTTCCACAAACAGGCCAGTCAGGAGGAAGATCTGCCCGTTAACCCAAGTGGCTGTGCCCGCTCTGAAGTCTACCTGAGGTCAGTTTGTTTGTTTTTAAGTGGTAAATAAGTGGTGGTAACACAGTGATGCAAATAAATATATGTACTTTCTCTTATATGTATACTACTAGTAAAGATAAATAATAATAATACAAATTATGTGTCTATATATTAGGGCTGTGTATCACCAGCAAAGATACGTATCACGATATAGGACTGCACTAAGTTTCACTTCAGCAGAATTTAGTAAAACAGCTGTTTATTAAACACTGCATACTATAGGGCCATTTCTAACTATAGGCAGAGCAGGCAGTTGACCTCTGCATTATGAAGGGCCTCCATAACTGTGCAAAAGCATAACAATATAGGTAATGGCGAAGGTTTCATGTTAACACTGAACACTCCCCACCAGGTACAATATTCTTTTTTTTTTTCTGTCATTTTGTTTTTAAGCCCATAAATAATAATGTATTGTTTCTAATAAATTTATATTGTAATGTACTCATTCCAATATATTAATAAAACCATCTTTACATTGCTGGTAGGTTATCATTGCACAAATTAACACATTCTGCGTTTAAAGGGGTCATATGATGCGATTTAAATTTTTCCTTTCTCTTTGGAGTGTTACAAGCTCTTGGTGCATAAAGAAGATCTGTAAATTTGCAAAGACTAAAGTCTCAAATCCAAAGATATATTCTTTATAAAAGTTAAGAGTCAACCACGCCTACCTAAAACGGCTCGTTCTAACACGCCCCCACTTGTCTACGTCACGATGTGGGAAGATTTAGGCATTTGGGCATAGCGCCGCCCAAATGTTCACGCAAAGAAAGAAGGCTAACTTTTATTCCAAAATTAGAAACATTCTTCTAAACTAATGCACTGTATACCACTACCACCAATAACAGTAACAACAATAATAATAATTGTTATTATTATTATTATTGTTATTGAAGAGCCTTTACCAGCAAATTGATATGTGATTATTTGCTGTTCATATGATTAATTTATGGCCTTACTGTGTAATTCATTTAGTTGTGTTTTATAATTGATTGACAGTACTTTTTCACAACTTTGAACCAGTTACTGAGAACATTGTGTTGTTAAATAAGGAAATTCATAGTAGGTCACTGTTAGGGGGAATGTCCCTATATGAATAGCTTTTATAGAAAGAGGCTAAATGACTAATACCTAGCTACGAGAAAGTAGGTGTTTTAAAGTGAAATGTTTTGCACCGTGTTTCTTGGTTACCCTGCAGTCACGGAGAAGAGGTGTTATCTAGTAAGTTTGCGTGCCTAAAAAAAAAAAAACTTTTCTGAGTATAGTTCACATCTGCTCTTGTATCTGTTTCGCAGGAAGTCTACCTTTGATATGTTCAACTTCCTGGCGTCACAGCACAGACAGCTTCCTGACACCGACCTGTATGATGAGGAAGAGGATGAGGTTCTTCTCAAATCCACCAGGTCAAATAAGAGTTTGAATTTGACTGAAGCTTTGTTTTTCTCATATGACACACATAAGAGTTTGGAGAAAAACATGATGGGAGTTTCACAGTCAAATCTCTATTGTTTCATTATTAAAACACTATGTGCATAGTGTTTTTAATGTTTAATTTATTTATTTTTTTATAATTGTTTTTAAAAAGTATTTTAATAGGAGTCATTATGAGAAATACTCAAGGTAATATTTTTGCTGAAAAAAAAAAACTGGTACTGATACTTGGTTTTAGTGACATTTTACGTTTTTTTTTTTTTTTTTTTTTTTTTGTGTCTTGGCAGTGTGCTCTTCATATGCCTTTCCCCTTTTTAATCTTTAGCTGTTCATATTTCCTCTTTCTTGAATAATTTCCTCAGTATTGCCGTTTTTGATTATTAGTCATCTGTGGTTTGGTTCACATGACGAATAAACTCAATTGTATTTTACAGGCGCGCAACAAGTTTGGAGCTTCCGATGGCGATGCGCTTTAGACATCTAGAGAAGACATCCAAGGAAGCGGTTGGTGTCTACAGGTAGGTTGACTGTTTTTAACCTCCAAATAAGGAACTGAGTCGGTTTCAGTTCTGTCCTTAGCTCCCACATTTGAGCAACCTCAGTAGAAAAGATGAGTATGACTTTATTTTTTGCAGAAGTCAAAATTCCATTATGAGACTATATAATAAGATGAGATGAAGTCACCAGTCCCATGAAAGAAATGTGCACCTATTGTTTCCAAGTGTTGTTTCCACCAAGCCCCGGTACCATTGGAATAAATAAAGATTCTGTTCTTTTTTTTTTAGGGAATCATCTTTTAAGATCTGCTAAGAATATTTATCTTTCTTTTTAGCCCTGCAATGTCTTAGACACAGTGCGTCTGAAGCCTAAAGCTCACATAGGGTGTCTGTGAACGTGTTTTTGCCAGAGAAAATACAATCTTTGGAATCCATTCTGCGACCCCTTTGCAGTTTCATCTCTTTAGCTCTGTTCTAATTAAAAACAGGTCATGTTCATTCCTGTAATTCATTCTTGTTGTAGATCTGCGATTCATGGAAGAGGCCTTTTCTGCAAGCGAAACATCGAGGCAGGAGAGATGGTCATTGAGTATTCAGGCATTGTCATTCGTTCTGTTCTTACAGACAAGCGTGAGAAGTATTATGATGGCAAGGTGAGTGGAAATGTGCTTTTTTATTTATTTGTGATCTCTCAGCCAATTACCACCAGGTTTAACAACAGAAATGCATTTTAGGTAGTCATGGCCCTCTGTTTTTACCCATTTTCCTTGTTGTAGTTAGTATTATTTAATATTTATTTAGTTTAAATATTAATATAATTTAATACCAAGACACCATCCCCAACATTAAAAGAAAAATAAGAACTGCCTAGAAACATTTATTACTTTTATTTTAGTGCAAAAAAAGTATCTAATGCTCCATTTATATGATCAAAAATGGAGCAAAATACAGTAATATTGTGAAATTTTATTACAGCTTACAATAATTGTTCCTATTTCAGTATATTTTAAAATATACTTTGTTCCTGGGATGCAAAGTTGAATTTTCAGCATCATTACCCCCAGTCTTCAGTGTCACATGATCCTTCAGATATAATTCTGATATATACTGATTTGGCGCTCAAGATATATTCATTATCATTATCAATGTTGAAAACACTTGTTCTGCTTAATATTATTGTGATAACTGTGATACATTTTTTTTATTCAGGATTGTTTGATAAATAGACAGTTAAAAACAACAGCATTTATTTGAAAGAGAAATCATTTGTAACGCTATAAATGTCTTTACTGGAACATTTGATCGATTTAATAGATCCTTGCTGAATATAAGTATTAATTTCTTTAAAAAAAAAAAAATCCCTCTTTCTCTCTCTCTGTATATATAATATACGCTAGATTTGGGTCAGAGTTTGAATATCACTTATACCACTTCTTTCTTCCAGGGCATTGGATGCTATATGTTCCGCATCGATGACTTTGATGTGGTAGACGCCACGATGCATGGTAACGCGGCGCGGTTCATCAACCACTCCTGCGAGCCAAACTGCTACTCTCGAGTCATCAATGTAGAAGGTCAGAAGCACATAGTTATTTTCGCCTTGCGGAAGATCTACCGTGGAGAGGAGCTGACCTATGACTACAAGTTCCCCATAGAAGATGCCAGCAACAAGCTCGGCTGCAACTGTGGCGCTAAGCGCTGTCGGCACTTCTTAAACTGAAAAGGAGCTTGGAGAAGTTGCAGTGCAACTGCACGACAGTGGAGTTAGACGGGTAAAAATGGTAGATTGAGGCTTGACGGGTAAAGGGGGTCCAAGCGGAAGGTTTCAAAGCTTAACACAGTCACCACTTCATTTCAAAGTCCTTCAACAGGCACATACAAGGACCACCATTTTTTTTAAACCGCTGTTGTGGAGCCGTTCCTTCAACCTTGATTCCTCGATGAGTCTACATTCAGTTCAGTAGAGCAGATGGGATGGGCGCATGAGTGGTGTGTGGTAACACGGCCAAGGCCTTTTCAAGAACATTTCCCACCATGCAGCCTCCTCTGTACTTCATTAAAAGCTTTATCAGAATATTAGCGGTTTTGAAAGGAGTTTCCGTCAAAGCAGCAGTTTTAAACCAGTTCATAAGCAGCAAAGTACGAGGAAAAAAAGCGGCACGAATATTGAACTAAAGGCAGAGTCGTGGTATATTTTGCAGCAAAATTGTGACTACTTTTAAATTATTCCCGCAGGTTTTTATGCTTTCCAAAACCTGGGATGCGCTGCCAAGAGTTCGGGGTGTTCTGTTCCCATAAATGACCTTTAAATTCCAAACAACCTCCCACGAGCCAACCTTAAAGTGCTGGATTTTCACGATATGAACAGAATCGCCTCTGTGCTTGAGAAGCATTTTATAGTGCGGACCACGTAGTGTGCGAAAGCGTAGCGGCAGCGAAGATACTCTGTAAAAACATGCATATTACTAATGAAATGATGTGAACGTATTCAGATCTGTATATCGATTTTAGTTTAGACCACACTTTCGTGTTTGGCCGAGAAAGACTCACACTGCTCAGGACAACACTGTAAACCCCTCAGTGTGACCCATGGATCCACTCCTTGCACATGGACTCGCTCGGTTGCGTTTCACTCTCATCTGTGACAGTTTTTCACTTGAAAACCCTTTTAATCTTCTCAAAGGCTTTATTTTTAACAATTAATTTATTTTCGTTGCATTTTTACTGGCAGGTCTAACTCTTCATTCTGTTTTGCGGGCTTGTTCTGTGGTGTGAGTGTATAAGCGGTTTTAAAAACTTGATGACCTCCATGGTGCTAAGCCTAACATGAGTCCTAAAGGGGGTAAAAACAATACTGTTTCATGAGAACCGATGCGAGCTGTAGTTGCTGCAACCGGTACTAAAATAGCAAAGCAACCCAGACACGCTTTCCAACAAATGTCAGTGGTGTTTTGAAACCCCATTCCCAGTACTCAAAACGGCAACGTTTTAGCATGTTTGTGATTTTAATACCTCTTGAGAGCCTTGTGTCGAAAACAAAATCATGCCTGGAGAGTGGATATTTGAGCTTCTATTCGTCATGTAGTAGAGGACACTACTTAAGCTAATCGTGACTAAATGCATCCTCGTTGTGGATTGTTCCTGCAATAAATCATTTTCTGCCACAATTGCACATACAATTGGAGCTCTACATTTATCTAGGGAGTTAGAAACTGCTTAAAGTGTCCTAGAAGACGTAGGACCGTGAAGACGATGTATACAAGATCTATATATATATTTATAGAAGAGTTATTGAAACAGTTTTTCAGTAGACGGTGGTACTCGGCACCTTAATTTTCCTTGAAAGATTTGGGAGTTGGTTGTCGTCTTCATGCAGGAAAAAAATCAACAAGCTGATGCCATCGTTCGGACTGTAAGAGCGTTCTTTTTATTCCTGTTTGTCTTTATGGGAGTTTTTACCCATAGGTCTGTGCTTTTTTGTATGTGACCAAGGTCTTATCAGAGTTTTCTTCAGGGTTTTTTTTTTCTCGTTCTTTTAAACCGTTTTCCCCATTTTCTTTAACGTGAACATTGAGGATGAGTTCTTGCAACGTGGCCTTTTTAAGAGGTGATGTGTTGAGCCGGCTGTTTGTTTTAAATGTCTTAGTTGTCTGATTTTATTTGACTTTCCCAAAGGAGAAGTTTCCTCCCACTAAATCACGTTGGCGTCTCCCACTTTTTCCTTACTCTGTGTGTTTGTGCGGAGGGAGAATCTCCATCCAGAACCTGAAATTTAGCGGATCTCAGATTTTAATCAAACCACCCCAGACTTGCAAGGATTCTACCTCAAGCTGTTCAGACGATATCAAGTAATACTAATGCAAAACTAGATTTGCTTGGTCTGTTCTGTCATGCAGAGTTGGCTCGTGTGCAATGAAGGATGCAAAGCACTAGTCAGGACCTCCTGTGATAATGCGTCTCCCAGAGCTTCCTGGGAAAAGAAATTCTGTCTGTTCCTGTGTAGGCTATTTTAAAAATACAACGTTGTGTTGAAAAAGACTTCAAATGAAAAAACATGCGTCTTTGCTACCTTGTACAAATGACCCCTAAGTTTGTAAATAGTTGTATACATATTTCTAAACCTGTTCAATTTTTCTATGCACTTTTTTTTTTTATTTATAGTGTTTTTGCTTAATAAAGATGTACAATGTTTGAAAAAAGTTCAAGATTTATTGTGATCTTTGTGCTGACTATACAAAAGAATAAATTGTGCACTACTAATAACTAATGATACAACAATGCTTTCAGAAAGGGTTTGTGGCCAAATCCTGTCAAGAAATTGAAAACTTGGAATATTGGTTTGCCAATAATTCTAAGTTTCCAAGATTTATGACACTTATAAAAAGATTAGAAGAAAAAGACACTTCATTTTCATGAATTCTAGTAGTTTAACAAAAATTGTGAAATATAAATTGTGTTATGCAGTGTTACGTTTCATATAAGCTATATAAAACTAAATGTGTAACATGTAAGGATGAACTAGGATGAAATGGAGATGGTGGAACAGTTAGGGAAAACCCCAAAATGTGTCTTGTCTTTGATTCCAAATGCTTCCACATGGACTCAAGATGAACATCTGTTATCCACTGTTAACTGTATGAAGTGTTTTGTTTGCATCTTAGACGGTCAGTCTGAGTACATTATTCAAGCATTGCGTGCTTCAACTGTCAACTGAATACTGAACTTATATATAGGGAAAAATACACAATCTCATGAGAAAACCATTTCCAAGTTGGCGATTTTGTATAATTGTCCACTACGATGAACGATTTTTAGAACAAATACTAAGCATTAACCCTCTGAGGCATAAGCAGATCATACAAATTCACGAATTCTTATGAGATTGTGTTCAACAATACAGTATTATAAGTAAATTACTGGTTTGTGTTCTTAAAATATTGCATGAATTATTCTTATACACCTGCAGGAAGCTTCGCCAAAATCTCCACTGCATCGTTACGACTGATAGCGTTTAGCAGCTCAGCGAGGTGGCCGACAGTCCAGTCTGGGTTCTTGGTGACGACACCCTCCAACACGGCAACAAGGGGGCTTTTGTGGTCCTTCATGGAATAAGCATAATTTATCCAGGCAAAGGAAAAGGAGCACTGGGCAGCAAGGTGACGAGTGCTCTTGGCGCCAGAAATGTCCGGGTCTAATACCAACACAAGCTCCTCAAGAACATCCAAGTTGTCCAGCACCGTTTTCAGAGGTGCATCATGGACCTCAGGTGCTGTGAAAATATTTATGGCAAATCACCAGTTTTTCACTTGGAAAATTACTGTAAAGGAGTTATGTAGGGTTATGTGTAACTGTTATTCGTATATACCCACCTAACATGTGTGACAATCCAGTCACGTGATCGTTATTACCATCGTTGATTATGTTGTATGAGACGGACTGTTCATATGTGGCAATGCCCTTTTTGGACAGGCTTTCATGACTTGCTCCATTACAGCATTTTTTTAATTCTGGCATTTTTTTAAAAACACAAGAGAAATTCATGTTGTTTTGTTAAAGGGGTCATATGATGCTATTTTAAAGATCATTATTTTGTGTATTTGGTGTAACAAAATATGTTGACATGCTTTAATGTTCAAAAAAACACATTATTTTTCAAATACTGTACATTATTGTAGGTCCTCTATGCCCCGCCTCTCTCAAACACGTCATTTTCAACAAAGCCCCCTCCTTTGACAAGCACAGTCTGCTCTGATTGGCCAGCTGACACAGTGCATT